ACACAAGCCAAGTGTCACTTGTGCAGGGACGCTGCAGCAGCGAGCCCCACCTGAGCCCCACAGTGCCATGGAGCAGGGGACAGTGTCTCCATGACCCCACACAAAGCCAGAGTGGTACTGACAGTGGGGAGGAGTGGGCAGGGGGGCTACGGGGAGCCCTCCTGTCCCAGCACGCACCTTGTAGGGTCTCCATGTGCTCTTTCCTCAGGGCATCAAACTGTTCCTCCAGATCCAGGTCTTTTCCCTTTTCCACCTGGGAAGCAGGGAGAGGACAAAGTAAGGGATGCTCTGGCGCTCCCTGCCCTCCGTGGCTCATTGCCATGCTCTGCGCTTTCTAACCACTCCCTAGCCCCTTCCTCCTCCCAAAAATAGGACAGCCCAGCCCACCATGTGCCAGGTCCATGAGTGCTGCCTGGGAAGTCCTGGCTGGCCACTCACTCCCTGCAGCACCTGCCTTTTCGACCCACCTGGACGATGTTAACGTCCTGGGCGGTTCTCGCTGCGCCTGCTCTGCCAGCACCCCGCAGCCGCTCCTCCTCTTCTTCCTGGCCCTGGAGGAGTCTCCCACTCTCTGTCCGCTCTTCTCGAAGTGCTCCCTTCTCCTTCCCATCGTCGGGCAGCAGGACAGCATAGGCTGCAAGGCAAACACGGCTGAATCCCGCTCACCCAGGTGCTCGGATGTCCTGGGCAGATGACTTGCCAGCACGGTGGCCTGGGTTCAGACCCTGTCCTCTTCCCACTGGACAGATACTTGCCCCACATCTCACTGATGCAAATTAGCACTAATTGGGGTGGATAGCATTGGCAAGCTCAAAGAGGAGACAGCTTGTTAGGCCTCCCACCCTGCGGACGCCCTGTCAGATGGAGAGGATGGGACACCATTGCCTCTGGGATGTCACCGAGTCTGCCTGTCTGCACCAGCGCCACAGGGAGACTGCAGCCATCATCCCCATCCTCCCTGGTCCCGGCTGGCTGCCCTGGGGTCTACCCTACTGCTTTCTTAACTTCCCATTGAGAAAGCACAGTGGGGTGGGAGACACACGTTTTCTTCTCACCATTCTCTGTCTTCAAGGCTGTGAGCTCCTGGGAATCTGGTCCCTTCTGCTGCTGGGCTTTTAGCTGTCTCTGGCAGAGAGAGAGGGGGCTGGAGCAGGGGGGGCAGGTGGCTGCAGGCAGAGGACACCCTGCTGCCAGGCACCCTGTGCTGAGCGTGTTTCAGCCCTGCTAAAACACGGATGCTCGAGCAGTGGTGGTCCCTTCCCAACCCTCTGCCAGCCCCGAGCACCCATGGGTGCACTGCACCACTTGGCAGGCAGCTCCAAGCTTGTGCAGTTTCCCTGCACCCTGGACACTTTGCCATGTAGCATTGCCGGTGGGTAACTTGGGAGATGATCAGCCCCCACACCTCCCCACATGGTGCTGGTGCAAAGTCAGCTGCCCCAGCAAAACATTTGGTGGGGGAGAGCAGGCAGCACTGGGCATGGCTCCGGCTATGGCCCTTCCTTGCCACCATCCTCCTGCCCTGTCCCCGCTGTACTGGCATGCTCAAGGTTAGCCTGGTTCCCCGGCACCTTGCAGCACCCCAAAACCACCCTTCTGTCAGGGAGAGATGAAAAATAACCACAAACCAGGCAGGGCTGGCAGCAGGGGAGTGCTGGCGGCGGTGCAAGCGATGACCTCAGGAGCACAGGAATGGGCCGCTCAGCCCCGCGCGCTCCCGCACGCTCCTGCTGCTGCCGCCGGGCTGATAGAACCCAGAGCCGGGAGCTGCCTTCAGCAACACAGCTCCATGGGATACCTTCCAGCCCTGCATGGGTTTAATTTAGTCACTTGGAGAGGAGGAGAAACAAACCAAAAAAAAAGAAAATATATGGATGTATTTTATCTGTTGCTGAAAGATGCAAAGCTCGCCTGCTCTTGCAGATCCGCCTCCCCGGTGTGGTGCAAAACTTGCCCCTGATGCCCATCACCGGGTTGTGCTTCTGGGCAGGGATGTGGGAATCCACCTGCAGACACATTGCTGCTCTCCAGACACTGGCAAAGCCACCCCTAAAGGTATTGATCCCTAACGAAATAAGCCCTGCAGCCTGCGGGGAGCTGGGGGCCCCGCGATGCCAGCAGCACCCCAGCTTGGCCAAATACAGACCAGATTAGGGAACCTGGCTTGGGAAAAAGCAAGGCAAAGCAAACAGGCATCCCTGCCTCCGCCTCCCCTGCAGCTCCCCTTCTGTAGCTGGAGGGAATGGGAGCTGCCAGAGAGAGTAGGAAAACTCTGAGCCTCTGGGAAGCCACGGCTTTATCTTCCCTTCTATGGCGTGAGCGGCCACAGCGTTGAACTCAGCCAAGGCAGCGGGTCCAGAAAGCACAAGACAGTCGAGATTCGCAGGTTTTGTTCTCATCGCTGACACACTTCACCCTGCTAACGCGGGGTGCCCCGGGATGCCACAAGCCCCAGCAGCTCTGCCCGCAAAGGGTCCCCAGGGTCTCCAGCCTGCTTCCTGTACCCATGTGACGCTGGTAGGCATCCTTCTGCTATTTAATGTTCCGTGAGGGGGTTTTGAAGTCTGGTGGGGAGTGAGAGAGTCAGGGCTCTGCAAGCCTGGGGACATCACAGGAACCTCAAAAGCCTCCCCCTCCCCAGTTTTACAATGACAAAGCAAAGGTTGTGCAGTGGGACCATCCTAGCCTGGCCGGGTCACACAGCCCCCACAGGTTTTGGATGATCTGAGCCTTGCCAGGAACAGGATGCTGGTACCTTGTCCAGAAGCAACCCCCAAAGCTCACTTGCCCAAACCAAAACCCCTCTGCTGCACGTGTCCCGCTCACTGGTGAAGACAATGCCCAAGGACAGAGAGCCCGGGGCTGCTCGCCCTGACCACCCCCGTAGCATGGGCAATGTCCCCAGCGAGGATCCAGGGCACTTCCACCTCTCTTCCAAAGCCCGGACCCAGCAGGATGAGGCCTCACAGCCCCTCAGGCCTCTCAAGATGGTTTGAGACAACTGCACTGAACTCAGAAATGGCTAAAAGGAGAGATTGATGCGGCATCAGCAGACAGATCTAAATACCTGCCCTGAGGCTATGAGCGAAGCATCCCTCCTACCTCTAACAGCAATTAAAATAGTGTCTGGAGCTAATTTTACTCCTAAATCCTCTACTGTCCTTTGGGATGAGAGCTCCACAGCCAAAAACAGGGTGAAAAGCAAAATGTGGCTAAATCCAGCTGAAACAGAGAGGCACCTTCCACTGTCATTTCCAGAGCAGTGTGTGGCACCCGTGTCTCTGCTATTGCCTGGTGCATTTTGGAGAGCTGGGTTTTATTTTTATAATGCAAACCTGTTATTTTGCTCCAAGATGACATTGTGGTATCTGCTGTGTGTGGAAGGAGCACGTTGGGAGTTGCTCCAGATAGAATGGTTTTGGCCTGGGGAAGAAGCAGCCTGAAATGTCCCACAGGTGCAGCCACGGCCAGCACTGCCCATCCTGCGAGGTCTCAGCATTCTTAGAACCAAATATTTCTAATGGTCTGGAACTAAACTGTTTATTAATTGGGATTTCCAGCAGAACCTGAGGCATCTTGAAAGGTGCCAGGGGTGAGGAGCATCCATGCAGAGGCTGCCAGCATGGTGTGGGCAGTTGGGCCAGCTGCAGTCTCTGCTTCAGCTTCTAGTATGAGGTGGGGGTTTTGGACTGTATTCTTCCTCTTTTCCTGTTTTACAAGTACATTAAGCAATTAAACCATGCAGTGTTACCATCAGTGAACAAAATCACAAAGAGGCAGGAAATGAGCATTCAGAACCCAACTCTGCTCCTGCAGACGAGGTTTTGCTTTGTGGCTGTGGAGAATTGGGCAAGGATTTGACCCACAAGCCTAAAACCAACCTGGGACCTGCAGAGGATGCTCAGTGCTACCAGACCCTCACTGGCACAGGTCCCTGGGACCTGTCTTTGACTCTGCTGCTGTTTTTCCTCCAGCGATGGTTGTGTTACAAGATGGCTATCACCTCCCCACAGTCAGATCCATAACACAGACCGCACGCAAACCCTTCACACCGTTGACAGCCCCAAGTTTTGCATCCTGACCTTTCCCTGGTTCCTGCTGCCACATATAGTTCCTGTATCTCCAAAATACGGACACCTGTGCCTGTGCTTCCTTATCGCCCCGCTGGTGACGGGAAGGACGAGGCCGCCGATCCGCCTCCCCCGGTGCTCACAGCGGTGCCGGGTATGCTGTCTGCCCACTGGACCCGGCACGGGCTCCCCAAGGTCACCTCCAACCTGGGACCGGCCCCAAAAGCCTCTGCACCCCCTGGCCTCATGACATGCACCTGGGGTCACCCCTGGGGTTTGAGGGCTCCCCATCCCCAAGCAACCCCAGGGGACAAGCTCTGGAAGTTCACGCATTAGCAAGTGGGAGAGTGAAGGTAACCCACTCCGTTTTTTGGTACCCTAGAGATGAGAACATGGGCAGGAGCGGCTCGATGCCCGCCCTTACCCCTTCTTGCCTTAAAGGGGATTTTTGGTGCTGCTTTCAGGATTAACTCGCAGCTCAGTCACAGCAGCAGGGCTGTTCTGTGGGGCACAAATTGTGGTGAGCAGCACTGCGAAACTGAACAGAGGAGCTCAAGAGCAGGCAAGCGCAGGAAGGGAGGTGTCTGTGGGCAAATGACTGACTTAAATTTCCGCTTTTCGGTAAATGTGTGGCTCTCAACACCTGGGGCCTCAGGGCTGCTCTTTCTCCCTGTCCCATGCTTCTTCTTGTGAGCTCTCATTATCACAAACCAGCCCAGAAGTGTCTGATCTTATGACATAGAGTGGGTTTTTTTCCGTGATATGGAGAAGCATGTAAAATATGCTGTGCTCATGCCGTAAATAAAGGCACTTGCTGGCTTTCGGGCTGTGCAAACTCCACGTCTGCTCCCCCCAACATCCTGGCAGCAGGTTGTGATTTGGCTGTGTGGTCCTGGGTGTCCGAGCTCTCACAGCTGCCTCTGCAAAGGGCTGCCCATGTGAGGGGGCACACCGGCACCACAGGGCCTTTCTGACTTTCTTCCAGCC